TGAACAACAACATGGCTACATGCAGGGTTCAAGTGTGCCATAAGCTAGAGAGTGTTCCACAAAGCTTTTCCTTACATACAGGAAGCAAACCACATCCCTAAGACAGCTACTCAGCTGCTCACAGTAGATTCCACCATGGAGTTCATTACCAGTCTTCATCATGGGGAATATTATATCCAACTGCCCAGCCACTCAACCAGACCTAGCCAGGTTGACACACAACTTCACCACCACAGATACTGTCTTGATTTCTGCAGCTTTTTAAAATAATTTATTTTTGTTGTTGTTGAGAATATGCACAGCAGAACATCCACCAGTTCAACAGTTTCTTAATGTATATTCAGTGACGTTGATTACATTGTTTGAGTTGTGTAGTTATTCATACTTTCCTTTTTCAAATTATCCTTCCTTCATTAACATAAACTCACTGTCCCCTAAATTTCTTACCTGTCTTTTGAGTTGCTGATATCAGTTTGAGCTAATATAGGTAGGTCTTAAAAGAGCACAATGCTCAAGGCAGACATTCTTTACTAGTTAAGCTAAACTGTGATTTAATTTTAAGATAATTTAAGGGGTTGCAGCTATTATAGATTTTTTTTTTTAAATTAGGTAATGTTAGCCCTCCAGCATTGCTTTATTTTTTTGAAAAAAATTTCTTGTTATTTTAAATCTTTTGCATTTTCATGTGAATCATAGACTTAGATTATTACGTGTACAAAAAAGCCTGCTGAGATTTTGATAGAGATTGTGATAAATCTATAGATCTATTTGGGGAGAATTGTCATCTTAACAATATCACATCTTCGAGTCCATGAACATGATATGTCTCTCTTCATTTAAGTATTTTTTCTTTCACTATTGCTTTGTAGTGTTCATTGTGTAGGATTTATACTTCTTTTCTTAAATTTTTCCTAAGGATTTTCTTATTTTTGATGTTATTGTGAACAGGACTTTTCCCTTAATTTTGCTTTGAATTCTTCAATTGTTATTTTAATTTTAAGCTTTTTCAGATATCATTTATTCTGCTCTATATGTGTAATTGTGTGTAGGGCATGTCTGCCTGCACCACCAGACCTGACGTGGTTAGGATGGTCCTGTCCAGTTGTTTCCAGCAGTTTTTTAATTTTTTTTAAAACTTTTTATTGTGATTCAAGAGCTCTGGTGGCATAGTGCCTAAGGCATGTGACTGCTAACCAGAAGGCTGGCAGTTCAAACCCACCAGTGACTCCTCAGAATGAAGGTTGTGCAATCTACTTTAATAGTGATTTGTGGTTGTTGTTAGGTGCCATCGAGTTGTTTCTGACTCATAGTGACCCCATGCACAGCAGAATGAAACATTGCCTGATCCCGTGCCAGCTCCATGATCCCTGCTATACTTGAGCCCATCGTCACAGCCACCTTGTCAATCCATCTCGTTGAAGGACTTCTCTTTTGTCAACCCTCCACCTTATCAAGCATGACATCCTTCTCTAGGGAATGGTCCCTTCTGAAAACATGACCAAAGTAGGTGAGACGAAGTTCTGGCCATTGTTGTTTCTAAGGAGCATCTCGGCTGCACTTCCTCCAGGACAGATCTATTAGTTCTTTTAGCAGTCCATGGTACTTTCAGCATTCTTTGCCAGCACCACAACTCAAAAGCATCAATTCTTCTTTGGTCTTCCTTATTCGTTGTCCAGCTCTCACATGCATACGAGGCAATTGAAAATATCATGGCTTGTGTCAGGTGCACCTTAGTCCTCAAGGAGACATCCTTGTTCCTCAGCACTTGAAACATTTCCTTCGCAGTTGATCTGCCCAGTGCTTCACGTTGTCTAATGTCTTGACTGCTGCTTCCGTTGGCCTCGATTGTAGAACCAAGCAATGTGAGTTCTTTGACAACCTCAATCTTTTCTCCATTTATTGTGATGCTGCTTATTGAGCCAGTTGTGAGGATTTGTTTTCTTTATATTGAGACGTAATCCATACTGCAGACTGCGTTCTTCAGTCTTCATCAGTAAGTGCCTCAGGTCATCCTCAAGTCCAGAAGCAAAGTTGTGTCGTCTGCGTATCTCAGGTTGTTAATGATTCTTCCTCTAATCCTGATGCCACGTTTTTCTTCATATAGTCCAGGTGCTCGGATTATCTGCTCACCGTATAACTTGAATAAGTACAGGGAAAGGATACAACCCTGTCACACTGCCTTCTTGATTTTAAACCATGTATTATCCCCTTGTTCTGTTTGAATGACAGTCTGCTGGTCAATGTACAGGTTCCTCATGAGTACAATCAAGTGTTCGGGAATTCCTATTCTTCTCAATGTTATCCATAATTTGTCATGATCCACACAATCAAATGCCTTTGCATAGTCAATAAAGCACAAGTAAACATCTTTCTGGTATTCTTTGCCTTGAGCCAAGATCCATCTGACAGCAGCTATGATATCCCTTGTTCCACATCCTCTTCTGAATCCAGCTTGCACCTCTGGAAGTTCTCTGTCAATATACTGCTGCAACCGTTTTTGAATTATCTTCAGTAAGATCTTACTTGCGTGCGATATTAATGATATTGTTCTATAATTTCCACATTCTGTGGGATCACCTTTCTTTTGAATGGGTACAAATATGGATCTCTTCCAGTCAGTTGGCCAGGTAGCTGTCTTCCAAATCTCTTGGCATAACTGAGTGAGTGCCTCTAATGGGGCTTCCGTTTGTTGAAATATCTCAGTCGGTATTCTGTCAATTCCCAGAGCCTTGTTCTTCGCCAATTCCTTCATTACAGCTTCGACTTCTTCCTTCAATACCATTGGTTCTAGCTCGTGTGCCACCTCCTGAAATGGATGAAGATCAACCAGTTCTTTTTGGTACAATGATTCTGTGTATTCTTTCCATCTTCTTTTGATGTTTCCTGCATCATTCAATATTTTGCCCATAGAATTTCTCATTATTGCAACTTGAGGCTTAAATTTTTTCTTCAATTCCTTCACCTTGAGAAATGCCGAGTGTGTTCTCCCCTTTTGGTTTTCTAAGTCTAGGTCTTTACACATTTCATTATAGTAATTGACTTTTTCTGCCCGAGCTGCTCTTTTAAATAGTCTGTTTAGCTCTTTTATCTTGTCATTTCTTCCATTTGCTTTAGCTATTCTCTGCTCAAGGGCAAGTTTCAGAGTCTCTTCTGTCATCCATTTTGGTCTTCTCTTCTTTTCTCGTCTTTTTAGTGATCTCTTGCATTCTTCACCCTTGGGTTTCTTCACCTTGGGTCACTATGAGTTGGATCTGACTTGACAGCAGTGAGTTTGGTTTTTTTTTTTTTTTTTTCAATTGAGATTCAGGTGAAAGTTTACAGATCAACAGTTCTTTAATTGTCTTGAGAAGCCCCACCATAACCACACCACTGGGATGCAGACTGTGTTGATTGTGAAGGAAGCACAAATTCTGAAAGGGAATGCTGTGGTGCAGCTTTTTGCATGTGTAACTTAAGTGAACTTGGCTACATCCACCTTGGATGACAAATCTTGGAATCCAAACTGCTTTCATGATGAAGTCAGAAATTAAAAAAACCTAAAGTGTATACACCATATAAAGCCATGGTAATGTGTCTTTGGAAGGAAGATAGGGCAATCTACTTCTGTAGTGATACTGCCTTGGAAATCCAAGGAGGGCTCGCTATGAGTCGGGTCCGACTTGACGGCATGTAACAACAACAACAGGCCCAATGACAGTTTTTCTCCTAAAATCAGTGTGTATCTATGTATAAATATGTGTGACGTTCTACATGCAAAATACATTGTCCATAGGTCAATATGAATGGGCCATCCTAGGCCAAGTTATGAGGTCAACAAAGTTTAATTTGCAGTCCCAAATCCTTTCCTCCCCTAGTTAGAAAGCCCCTCCACATTTGTTGTTCTATTCCCACCTCTATAAATGGAATACTTAAATCATCTAGTATACTTTACCTGTGGCAATTAATTTAAATAATTATACTTTGATATGAGTGAATTTAACCAGGTTTTTATATTTCTAAGTTTTTTTTTTTGTTGTTGTTAAATAAGTAAATTTTACCACCTCTTAAGGAAATTGCAGGTAACATGAAACAGTGAAGCTGGTGGTAGAGGTTGGGGAGGGCAGGAAGCCCCACATTATCTAAGACTCACCTGAAGATAAAGCTAGTTTGCCTCCTTTAGGAATACTTGTGTGTTCAGAGGCTATCTAGAGAGGACAGTTGACTGTTAAAAGAGCCCAAGCTGACTTGCCCAGCTCTGGTTATCAGGAGATGTTTCTCAGAAGCTGCTTGTGGGTAGACTCAGAAACCTCTCCTGGTCTCCATCTTCTTGTTACCCCTTCACTGGATTGCTGTGACAGGGCTCCCTGGGAGCTTCTTCTTTCTCATTCTTCACCTGCCTTTGCCCCATCTTCCTTGTCTGGTGTTATGCTAGAATTCTTCTGTTGGTTAGCTATTTGCTAGCATCTTTGATAAGAGACTTATGAGGACTGAAGGATATGTTTGTGAAGAATGAATCTTCTGCAGTAACTCCTCTATTCTCACAATGTTCCTCAGCACCCTTTTAGTGTCTGCCTCTGGCACAGGGTGTTTTACTATGAAGTGATCCTTTTGAAGTCACAGGCTTTTACTAGAACTGGGGCTCTGTGTGAGGACTGTTGTATTAGACTGCTACTTTATTCACTGTCATAGGGGGCTCTGGTCCTGGGCATAACCATTTGGGACATGAACAGTCTCATGTTTTCATTTTACTGAAAGCAGGTGAATTCAAAGCTCTAGGGTATTTATAACTGCAATGTAATTGTATGTTCTTTTTGGAGAGTCTTTGCCTCTGCAGTTCTTCCCCTACCCATGTGGATTATGGCTCCCTAGGGAATAGCTTTGATTTGCCAACCCTTTTCTATAATTCTGCCTGCATTTCTTTTATTGAAAAATATCTTTTTGGAAGAAGCAAAGTAACAGAGATGTTTTAAGGCTGAATGGTAGTGTTCATTTTCCTGGATTTATTTTGTTTTGATTTTCAGGAGAAACTGGCTCTTCGACAACAGCTGAACGAGGCAAAGCAGCAACTGCTGCAGCAGGCTGAGTACTGCACGGAAATGGGGGCAGCAGCGTGCACCCTCCTGTGGGGTGTCTCTAGCAGTGAAGAGGTCGTCAAAGCCATACTGGGAGGAGTAAGCATGGCCCGTGGGCCCATCTGAATATTGTGGATCATGTCTCTGCCACTTATGTCATTTACACAGCATGTGTAGTCAAGCACTAACAGACTAAATCCCATTTCTTTCTGTCTACTCACTTGTGTCCATTGATCAAATAGTTATAGCATACCTCTTATGTATAGTCAGTCCATTGTAACTTGGTGCTCTAGGGGTATGTAAAGATGAATGAAATAAGAACCCCCCCCCTCAGAACCTGCGTGGTGTTTGTGGCTATAAAATACTACCACTTTAAGATTACTATTTTACATTTATATGTGTTTAACAAGGTTTAAAGTGCCTTTACATATATTATCTTATGTGTCATATTTAGTTTATTGAATTTACATGTTACTTAACATATGTATGTATATGTTAAATAGTACTTAAATATATTGGGAACTTCATAGAGAAGGAGGGATTTGAAATGGTCATTGATTAATTGATAGAAATGGCAGACAATGGGCACAGGGTGAGAAGTCTTAGGTTTATTTTAAGGACAGTGAGAAGGTCAATTGTCAAAGAGTGGAGAGTTTATGTAGCAAAGTAGTGGGGGATACAACTTAAAAGGTACATTGACTGTGGAAGATAGTACATGTCAGGTTGATGGTATTATTCTATAGGTGGTAGGACTGGGTTCCTAGGGAGTTTTAGTAGGAAACAATATAACCAGAGCAGAATGTTAGGAAGATCACCCTGACAGTGAGATGAAGATGGTGGTGGTAGTGGGAACACTAAATTGGAGATCCTTCTAATGGGGCAGGCAGGAGGGGGCTGAGCTCTGTAGTGGAGAGTCAGCTATAGGAGCAGGTTGGCGATGTTAGGTGAGGGGAAGGGAGGACAAGGAAGACTGAAGTTTAATTCTGGGAGAACAGTGTGGTTATGCAGGGAAATGAAAGTCAAGAAGAAGATGTTTGGTGGGAGAACAGTGATAAATTTGTTAGTTAACAGGTGCTGTTGTTGTTGTTGTTGTTATGTGCCATCGAGTCAGACCCAACTCATAGTGACCCCTCCTTGGGTTTCTGAGGTGGTATCACTGCAGAAGTAGATTGCCCAACCTTCCTTCCGAGGAGTGGCTGGTGGGTTTGATCTGCCAGCCTTCTGGTTAGCAGTCAAGTGCCTTAGGCACTATGCTATCAGAGCTCCCAGTTAACAGCTAGCTTGCAGAAATAAAAATTGTATTTGACTTTAGGTGGAACAGACTAAATTCATTTACATTTTTTTAACAGCTTTATTGAGGTATAATTTATATACCCTAAAGTTCATCCATATTAAGTGTATAATGCAGTTGTTTTTAGCAGATTTCTAGAGTTGTACAGTCACAACCACAATACAGTTTTAGAACATTTTTGTCACTCCTAAAAGTTTCCTTGTGCCCATTTGAAATTAATTGGTTTTTAAACAATGCTTCAGAACTCCAGCATCCCCAGGGAAGTGCTTCAAATGCCCAGCAAGCTTGGGAATGTTTTTGCCAAGCAATAGAGGTTTAACCTGCCAGAGCTACCTCCTTATTGTTAATTACCTTTTTATATGTTGAGTTTCGGTTATGGTTTTAGTTGGAAAAAAGTTCCAGTAATGGTTTGAAAATCTCTGGCTTAATGCATAGAATAAACAGGCAGACAATGTATTTTTCTAGTGTATTTCCATTATATTTTCTTGGATGAGTTTATCCTTATACTTCCATTGTTGTGTAAATTTGTCCTATTTCATTCATATGGATTTTTTTTTTAACTCTTACCAATTTTTCTTGCTCCTTCTTGCCCTAAATGTCTTTTCTCTCTTCTTTTCAGTGGGAACTTTTAATGAAGAAATAGGTTTTAAAATAATGTCTATAATTATCTTTTGTATCCTGTACTTACAAAATGTTTTTATACTGGTGTCTGAAGGGGTATGATACTTTCAGTTCCAAATTTCTAGGATAAAGCCCTGAAGTTTTTCAACATCACCGGTCAGACAATGGAGAGTTTTGTGAAGTCCCTCGATGGCGATGTCAAGGAGCTTGATTCCAATGAGAACCAGTTTGTTTTTGCTTTGGCTGGGATTGTAACAAGTAAGTGATTCTTTTCAAATGTAGTTACTGTTAAAGATGTATTCCAGAGCAGTGCTTACCAATTGGGTGTGTGTGCATCAAATGTCTGTATGCTAGGGCTCAACCTGGAGAATCTGATTCAGCCAATCAGGGATAGGTACCAGACTGTATATTTTGGAAAATATCCCCAAGAGATTCTGGTAAGTATCAGTTACTATGAAATACTAATCTAAAGAAAATATAGTATGAGCATGCATGTTTTGTTCAGTTATGTACATAGACAAAAGTCCAAACAAAACTAAGTTTAGTTATTTGGAATCATCCTTCTTTTAATAATATCTAGTAGCTAATGAAAGGAGCTCTGGTGGTGTAGTGGGTAGGCATTTGGCTGCAAACCAGAAGGTCAGTGGTTTAAACCCATCAGCTGCTTCATGGGAAGAAGATGGAACAGTCTACTTCTGTAAAGATTTACAGCCTTGGGAACCCTCCCTCTAAGGGTAGCTATGAGTCAGCTATGAGTGGGTGGGTAAATAGGTAATGAAGGAGCCCTGGTGGTGTGTGGTTAAAGGGCTTGACTGTTAACCCACAGGTGGGTAGTTTGAACCTACCAGCTATTCCATGGGAGAAAGATGTAGCAGTCTACTTCTGTAAAGATTTATAGCCGTGGAAACCCTATGGGGCAGTTCTACTCTGTCTTAAAAGGTTGTTATGAGTTGGACTTGACTCAATAGCAGTCAGTGCTTCTGCTTGGGTTTAGTAGCTAAAGTAAAAGCCTGAGCAATGCTTAAGCTATACTCTTGTTTTTGTTTTAGTACACTAATCAAATACTGTCCTAAACCTAAATTGTCCCTTCAGTAAATTTATCCCAAAGGATTATCAAGTAAACCTTTCCCTGGGAGTTACAATAAAATTTCAACAAAATTGTTCTCAACAATAAAGCCAAGGGACAAGTAATTTTCCATAGTAGTAGGAAGTGGGATATATTTATATTTAGGCTTTTTGTTCTGAAGTCAGTAAAATAGTTTATTTAACTGTCTACTTAACTATATTGCTGTGGCTTTTTTCTTGTAAATTGTGGTAAAAACATACAGTCAAAATATTTAGCAACTGAATAATTTCTACTTATAAAATTCAGTGACATAGGGTATATTCTTCATATTGTATACCATTATTGCTATCCCTTTCCAAATTATTTCACCATCATTAACATAAACTTAAGCTTCCCAAGCAAAAGTTCCCTCATCCCCCTCTGATTATTTCTTTTACATTAATCTTTTATCTCTTCTGTATCTGATGTTACTTTTAGGATTATTGTTGTCAGTTACTGTCAAGTTGGATCAGACTGATGGTGACCTTAGAACAGAACAAAACATTGCCCAGTCCTGCACCATCTTAATTATTTTTGATGTATTTATGCCCATTTTTGTGGCTTTTGTATCAATCCATCTCAGTGAGGGTTTCCCTCATTTTGTCTTACCTTCCACTTTACCAAAATGATGTTCTTTTCCTGAGTTTTTTCTTTCCTGGTGATGTGTGCAAAGTATGCAAGACAAAGTTTGTACCCTCACTTCTAAGAAGCATTCTGGGTTTATTTCTCTGCTTTTATGGAGAAGGAAAATTTTATTTTCCCTCGTGGCAATATTCTTTGTCTACTGAAATCCTAATGAGCAGGTCCTATGTAGGAAGTTTCTTTTAATCCTATAAAATCTGATGATTTTTTTTTTGGGTGGGGGGCAAATGTTGAGATTCAGATAGTCTTTGGGTTAATCCTGAGTTTGCCCAGTAACTTAGTCTTTTATTGTACAGAGTTAAATATTTTAATCATATATTTCTAATTTGGAGGAGAATTTTATTGCTAAACTTAAATTTTTTTTTTTTTTTTTGGGCTTCTCGTAAGGTGGTGGAATAGACAAACAAGTTACACAGACCTTCTTTAACCAAAGAGAAACCAATTGACCCAGATACAGAAGATAATTCTAGAGCCCTGAGCTTTGATAGGAAGGATACAGAAGTGCATCAAATATGGACTAGTAGAAGAACCTGAATGAATACAGTGAATGGAAAAATGGAACTGTGGACTGTCAGCTATCCTGACAGCATGGCTAGTTTGAATATTTGTAAGTGGGTTATGACCTGAACAGTAATTTAAAAATTGGCCCTGCTCGCCAAGGGCTGCATGGACAATTACACTGGTGGCTGATGACTAGAAAAGAAAACAGCAAAGAAGGAGACAAACTGAGGTGTGGACTTTCAGCTGTCATGAGGGTGCAGCCATTTTGAATATGTGTAAACAGTGTGGCCATTTTGAATATTTAAAGCAGCAGCATTCTGATCCCAGCGACCTAAGAGTAAGCTCCACTTGCTAAAGACGGCACTGGTAACCACACTGCAGGTGGTTAACTGGAAAGATGCAATATTCCCCTTCTTACTCTTACATTGGGAACTCTGGTGGTGTAGTGCCTCAGGCACTTGACTGCTAACCAGAAGGCTAGCGGTGCAACCCCACCAGACATTCCCTGGAAGGAAGGTTGGACAATCTACTTCCGTAGTGATACTGCCTTGGAAACCCAAGGAGGGGTTGCTTTAAGTTGGATGCGACTCCACAGCAGTGAGTTTGGTTTTGTTTAGTTTACTCTTATATTGGAACGCAAAATTTGGAGACAAAGAAGAATCACCAGTAGTTAAAAAATATGGCCTTGGTGATAGAAATGGTGCCAGAGATTGCAAGATAGAATTTTGCAAGATCAATGACTTACTCATTGCAAACACCTTTTTTGAATAAAATAAATAGTGGTTATACATGGGGACTTTGCCAGAAGGAATACTCAGGAATCAAATTAACTACATCAGTGGAAAGAGGCAATAGAGAAGCTCCATTATCTTCAGCCAGAACAAGGCTAAGAGGTAACTATGGAACAGACCATCAACTTCTCACATGCAAGTTCAAGTTGAAGCTGAAGACAATGAAAAGAAGTCCATGAGAACCAAAATATTTACAATTTAGAGACCATCTGAAGAATATATTTGACACATTGAACACCAGTGATTGAAAACCAGATGAATTGTGGGATGACATCAAGGATATCATCCATGAAGAAAGCAAAAGGTCATTAAAAGACAGGAAAGGAAGAAAAGATCAAAATGGATGTCAGAAAGAGACTCTGAAACTTGTCCTTGAATGGAGAGTAGCTAAAGAAATGGAAGAAATGACAAGATAAAAGCTGAACAGAGGATTTTAAAGAGCAGCTTAAGAAGAAAAAGTCATTTATTATAATGAAATGTACAAAGACCTGGAGTTAGAAAACCAAAAGGGAAGAACACGCTCGGCATTTCTTAAGCTGGAAGAACTGAAGAAAAAATTCATGCTTTGACTTGGAACATTGAAGGGTTCTATGGATAAAATATTGAATGATGCAGAAAGCATCAAAAGAAGATGGAAAGAATGCACAGAGTTACTGTACCAAAAAGAATTGGTTGATGTTCATCTATTTCAGGAGGTGGCATATGATCAAGAACCAGTGGTATTGAAAGAAAAAATCAAAGCTGCACTGAAAGAAGTGGCAAAAAGCAAGGCTCCAGAAATTGATGGAATCCCCATTGAGATCAACAAACAGATGCAATGCTGGAGGTAAATACCTGTGTATGCCAAGAGATTTGGAAGACATACCTGGCCAGCTGACTGGAAGAGATCCGTATTTGTACCCATTCCAAAGAACACTTAAACTTATACACAAGTACTATACCATACACAAGTAAAAACTTGTCAAAGGTAATTAAAAAACTATTGTAGCAGTATATTGACAAGGAACTTCCAGAAATGCAAGTTGGATTCAGAAGAGGATGTGAAATGAGGGATATCATTATCATTGCTGATGTCAGATGGATCTTTGCTGAAAGCAGAGAATACCAGAAAGATGTTTACTTGTGTTTTATTGACTATGCAAAAGCATTCGACTGTGTGGATCACAACAAATTATGGATAACATCAAGAACAATTGGAATTCCAGAACACTTGATTGTACTCATGAGGAACCTGTACACAGACCAAGAGGCTGTCGTGCAAACAGAACAAGGGGATACTGCATGGTTTAAAATCAGGAAGGGAGTGTGTTAGGGTTGTATCCTTTCACCATACTTGTTAAATCTGTATGCTGAACAAATAATCTGAGAAGATGGACTATATGAAGAAGAGCATGGCATCAGAATTGGAGGAAGACTCATTTAACAACCTGAGATACACAGTTGACACAACTTTGCTGAAAGTGAAGATGACTTGAAGCACTTGCTGACAAAGATTAAAGACTACAGTCTGCAGTATAGATTACACCTTAACATAAAATTAAAATCTTGACAAGTAGACTAATAAGCAGCATAAGGATAAATAGAAGAAAAAATTGAAGTTGTCAAAGATTTAATATAACTTGGTTCCACAATCAACACCAGTGGAAGCAGCAGTCAGGAAGTCAGACAACATACTGCACTGGGAAAATCTGCTGCAAAAGACCTCTTTAAAGTGCTGAAGAGCAAAGATGTCTCTTTGAAGACTAAGGTGTGCCTAACCAAGCCATGGTATTTTCAGTTGCCTCATATGCATGTGAAAGCTGGACAGTGAATAAGGAAGGCTGAAGAAGAGTTGATGCTATTGAGTTGTGGTCTTGGTGCAGAATACTGAAAGTATTGTGGACTGCCAGAAGAATGAACAAGTCTGTCATGGAAGAAGTGTAACCGGAATGCTCCTTGGAAATGAGAATTGCCAGATTTTGTCTCACCTACTTTGGTCATGTTGTCAGAAGGGACCATTCTCTGGAGAAGGATATCATGCTTGGTAAAGTGGAGGGTCAGCGAAAGAGGGGTAGGCCCCCAGTGAGATGGATTGACACAATGGCTGCAACACTGGGCTCAGGTATGGCAAGGATTGTGCGGCTCGCATAGTACTGGGCAGTGTTTCGTTCTGTTGTACATAGGGACGCTATGAGTCAGAGTCGACTTGATAGCACCTAACAACAACAAGAGGAGCTCTG